GGTTTTATCTTTTATGTGAGCACTCATCAAGAGATTGTTAGAAATTGATAAATACGTGTTTCAGCTTCGTTACAAAATCCATCTCTAAGGGGGTGAATAGGGAATGAATTATAGAAACTTCGAGGAAGGTTGCAGGTTTCCAAAAAAATCAGAACTGTCAATTTTTTTCCCAAATGTAAGATAATTCGGGAGTTTTCCAAAAATTCAAGACAATTATGAGGTTTTCTGAAGAACTTAGAGACAATCTATGGAGTTTTTGAAAATTACAAAACATTTACAATATCTCTCAAATATTCGAGGATTGTTGAATAAATAATGGGAAAACAATTGATAGGAAAGGGCGGCATTTTGCAAATAAAACTGATTTGAAGCAGTCATGAAAGCCCGAATACTGCACTCTGATTAATTGAAATGCGAAAGGAGGAAATAATTTGGTAATTCTTCAGATTTTCTCCACAATTCCACAAAAATTTTCAAGTTTCTTGAAAAAAATTCATATAAATTTCGAAAGATTATAGAAAATTTGAAAAAATTTTAGATGATTAGATGATGAAAGTTTGAAGTTTATGACATCGTCGAATAAAATTGTGAAAAAATCATGAATGAAGCGAAAACACTTCGAATTAGCGAAAGAAGATCAGAATTGACCCCATAATTTTTCTAGAAAAATAATTGAATACTTTTGTCAAGTTGCAAACGGAAATGAAGAGGGAGGCGAAGACAAAAAAATTATGGCCTGTGAGAAATTTGATAATTGTTGTTTTGCACTCTGAATATAATTTTGATTACAATAGTAATTAAAATTTCATTCAATGAGGACGGAAACTCAGAATTAGTGGATCACTTATTATAATATTTAAATTGAACAAGCAATGAACCGAGACGCATTGTTTTCATTATCTTTAACACTCAATAGACTAAAACGACGATAAATCATTAATTTTCGAAAGAAACAAAAAAAGCAAAGACATAATAAATGGGCATCAACGTCGCGGCCGCTTGCGGCCGCGGCGACGCTAGTAACATAATAAGATTAAGGATAATTGGGCGAGGAGGAAATGTAGGTGGTGAGGCGGAGGGGTTTCTATTGTTTTCCTGCAGAAAACCAATCGCTGAACAAAAAAATTTTTCCCATTCGGATTCAAAATTCAGGCAATATTAGGGAGTATCTCCGGTTAAAAATTATTTTCGGAGCTAATCAAATTTATTTGTATCTGTTCCACGCATTGAATGGTTTTCAGATTGTTTTTTTTTTAATAAATGAAAAAATATTAATCCATGCGAAAAAGTGGCA